ACTCTCTCTCTCTGTCTGGTGGTAAAGTCACTAATTCCTCCAGGAAGACATGAAAACTCCCGAATTATAGGGGCACTACTCACAGAATTAGAAGATATTCTCACATCTCTGACATATGCTAAAAATGTTATGCTACCTTTCCTCCAAAGTCTATCTACTTCTCGAGAAGAAATCAAACAAGAGAGAACACATTTGTTTCCCTGAAATATGAAACTCTCACCTTTTTAATACAAGGTCACTTTCTTCTTCAAGCAATCAATCTGAGCTCCATATCGACGCATCTAGTCCATACCCAAAATGACATTAAATGCAAAAATAGGTAGCAAAATGAAACCGGATCTTCAAACTCTATCAGAAAATTCCAAATCACAAAAAACAAACCCTATTAGCTACCATCTCATCTTCCATAGGCAAAACCACAAACAAAGAAATAAATAATAATACATATGACAAACCGAGAGAATCAAAATATTGCTCAAACATGAAAGAATGGCTAGCACCAGAATTGAATAAAATACGACAAAGATATGTAGAAATATAAGCCATACTTGTCACAACATCTGGGGACTCATTGGCCTCTTGTTGCGTCAGACTGTAAACTCGTGGATGTATTGGGGTCAAAGCAACAGAACTACCTGCACCTCGTGAACCTCAAGAAGGTTGACTTCATGATACCAAACCAACATCTCGACTACTAGAAGCCTTAGTATACGGTCGAGGTGGTACTGCCTTCATCCTACCCACGATTGACTGTGCAGAGCCTTTGAAATCAAAACATCTATCAAAATTACCTTGTGGACACTCAACAATCCTATGTTCAAATTGATGACAATGAAAACCCTTGTCTAATGCTTTTTAACACTGACCACTGTGCCTTCTACCACACTGCTGACATAATGGGGCCTCAATTACTGAACCCTAGAACTATCAACACTTCTTCTATCTGATCCATAAGAAATTGCTATTGTCTGTCCCTTCCTTCTGAACTCAACAGGTCCAAACCTGCCCTTCTTCCAGAATGGCTACTACTAGCTATCTCACTGCCAAATCTCTTCTTTCTTGCAGTCCATCGATGTTGCACTACTACTAGATCAGTCTCTATCCTCTTGGCCCTCTCAACTAACTGAGCAAAGTCTGTGATATCCTGTGCCAACAGTGGTTGTCTCAAAGCATCTCGGAGCCCTTCTAGAAATCGGTAACACTTCTCCTCATAAGTGCCAACTAATTGTGGAGCATATTTAGAGAGAGCAGTAAAGTTTGTATCATACTGCATCACTAATATGCTTCCCTGAATCAACTTCAGAAAAGAGCTCTGTAACCGTCTCCTAATAGATGGAGGTACAAACCATGTTCTGAATGTCTTAATAAACTCATCCCAAGTAATCAGGGTATTTGAACGGCTTTGAAACTTTTTTCTCTGTAGGCCCAATCACCAGTGCTCTGCCACGCCATCAAATAAAAATGCAGCTAATGCAACTCTCCTCTCAAAAGGACAATGCATCCCATCCAAAGTCTTCTCTATCCTCATCAGCCAATCCTCAGCTGCTTTAGGCTTAATAACACCTGAAAGTTTAGCAGGCTGTAATCTCATGAAATTCTATAAATATCTGTCCATGTCATCAGATTGGGTACCTAACAACCCGTGTGTGAGCCTCACCAACTAGCTGTGCTACTATACCTGCAATATGAGAAATTTCCTTAGAACTAATCACAGGGGCTAAACCTGGAACTTTAGCTGCTTGCATTGCCCATTGGTCATATCTGGATTTGGTTAGAGAAGTATTGAAATAAAACATCCAATTTATACACTACACAGAGCCATTATTGAATTGCAATATAAAATGAACCACTATTGAATCTCAACATGATTTTCTATATATCATCCAAAGCATATATAATTTGAAATCTATCTACAATTGTGTTTAGCAACAGAGACAACAACAACAACAACAACAACATCAAGCCTTTATCCCACTACGTGGGGTCGGCTACATGAATCTTTTTTCTCCATTGTGTCCTATTAAAAGTAAAATTCTCGTTTAAATCTAATAAAGAAAGGTCATTTCTAATATTTTCTAACCAAGTCTTTTTAGGTCTACCCCTACCTTTCTTAACATAAGTCAAATCTAATACCTCTACTCTCCTAACCGGGTCATCGGAAGGTCGCCGTTTTATGTGACCAAACCATCTAAGGCGACTCTCTCTAATCTTATCTTCTACTGGAGCTACTCCAACCTTTTCACATATATGCTCATTTCGTATCCGATCTCTAAGGGTAAATTCACTCATCCACCTGAGCATCCTCATCTCTACCACACTTAACTTAGTATTATGCTTCTCTTTTAATGGCCAACATTCAGCACCATAAAGCATTGCAGGCCTCACTACCATCTTATAGAGTTTTCCCTTAAGTTTGAGGGTACATTTCTATCACATAACAAGCCGATGCATTCCTCCACTTTAACATCCAACTTGAATTCTGGATAATATCCCATCTGTTCACCATCACTCTGAACAATAGATCCAAGATATCTAAAAACTTGTACTCTATTAATGACTTGATCGCCCAAAGTCACAATCCCCTCACTAGGTCTATTATTACTAAAAATTACATTCCATATATTCCATTTAGATCTACTCAAGCGAAAACTCTTAGTTTTAAGTGACCTCCATTAATTCAAGTTTACCGTACAACTCCCCTCTAGTCTTCATACAAGAAAAATATCATCCAGGAAAAAGCAACACCAAGGTATATTTCCTCTTGCAAATGTCAGTAGAGAAACATCCATGACTTAAAGAAAAAAGATATGGCTTAAGACTGATCCTTGATGATATACCCAACCGAAATAGAGAAATACTTAGTCAATCCACCATTGATTTGAACACAAGTATAACTCCTGCATACATAGCTTTAATGATTTGAAATAAGCATTATTGGACTCCCCTCTCCCTCCCCCACGACCCTCCCATGCCCTCTCTGAACTTCATCAGATCTTTTCTAAATCAATTAATATCATAGTAATCCTCCTCTAATTTCTCTAATTTGCTACAATCAAACCTCTTAATAAATGCTAATGACCTTTCATAGTCCGCCTACCGCGATGAATCCAAAATTGATTTTGAGAAACATTAGACCATTAGTATTCACGCCGCAACCTATGCTCCATAACTCGCTCCCATAGTTTTAAAGCTATGACAAATTAACTTAATACCTTATAATTTCACACCAAATCTTGTGCATTCACTATTATTTAAAAATTGATTGAAATCAATTTGCAAAACTGGACAATTTGACGCTTCCCCCCCCCCCCCCCCACACACACACACACTTGTACGGTCAGATGCCGATTTCTTAAAGAATTTCACTAGTGTCAAAAAATTAGGCAAACTAAAACACAACAATAGAGATGTTATGGAGAAGACGGTTTATAATTTGAGCTTATAATGACTCCTGAATAAATTCTTGAATCTTGCATGTAAAAATGCAGTTTTCAAAATTTGAGTTATAACACCTTTCCCTCAGAGCGGATTTTGTTTTACGAAATTGTTGGGAGGCTAATGACTATGAAGTCAGCAACCAAGTCCAAGGGTGTAGGCGAGCTCGGTGTTGTTGAAGAGGGGGTTGCTGCTGCAGGTGATGCTGGTTTGAGGGAAGTGATGACTTCTTTGAATGCTCAAGTGGCGGCTCTATGGGACGGTATAAGCTCGATAGAGGTTGAGCTACGCTTGTTACTTAGCCAGACCATGCAACAGTGGTTCCATTAGGGTGCCTAGTATGTCGTGGAGTATTTTAACCAAATGAGAGGATTAACGCCGAATATGGTGAAGGTCCGATGTGGTTATCGCAGGGTTGATTTGTTTTTCCCTTTTTTTGTTCAAATGTGCAAGTAAGTTTCTTGAGAAAAAAGTTTGCCTTGAATTCGGGTGATAGGAGAGTATGTCAAGTATGTCTTTAGGCCGTTTTGCTTTTCCTATGCTGATTTTGTTGTCCGACTGATGAGGATGATGATCGGATTAACTCGATGCTGGATGACATTTTTAGTGCTAAAAAGACTTTGTTAGAATGTATTAGAAATGACATTTTTTTAATTAGTTTCAAATGAGAATTTGATTTTTAATATGACACAATAGAGGAAAATGATTCATGCAACCGACCTCATGTAGTGGGATGAAGGCTTGGTGTTGTTGATGTTATTGTCAAGAGCATGGTCTGAGAGGACCACTTTCAGACTTTGGGAGTCATCTCTGAAATATTCATTGTTTAAACTTTAAAATGATCTAAAGTGTGCCTTTGTAGTTTCATTACTAAAATTCTTGTGCTTATTGTTCGTTTTTGTGTTATTGAGGTTGGTCTTTCAAGTCCATACTAGATAAGGAGCCACCAGCCGATTTAGTTTAAAAAATCATGTTGCTATAATTTGTTGTGCCCAAGGGCAGAATTTGTCTTTGGCACCATCTTTTCTCGTGTGGCAAAGAGCATTAAATAAGTCTCCCAGAAAAATTCCTCATTTTTCTCACCCGAAAATATAATTGTTCTCAATGCCTTATTGACAACTTTGCCCAAGAAACTAGTGTCTCAATTGCTCATCGCGAAAGGTCATCCTCCCCTTTTACAGGATGGGCCTTGCTCTACAGGAGTAGATGCTCTTTTGAAGTTGTGGTCAACAATGCCCTAGAATGGAAGAGCATGATATTCATGATTTGTCTCTTTAGGCTGCGATTGCTGGCCAATAGTAAGCTTCCCGTCAGTAGCTTGCTTCCCCTATGTAGTGACCCTTGGAGTCTTGCCTTCTGGTCTCTAATAGTGCTTATAAGGCTATGGAAACCTTCTTGGTATAGGGCAGAGTGCTGATAGGCTAGTTAGCAGAAGGCCTAAGGGAACAACAGTGTGCGATCACATCTCCGAATCCTTTGCTTGATCATCTGCTCTTTTCCATTTGCTATTATCTTTACTAATGATATTTTTCTAATCTTCTTTAACATTAGGTGATACTTTATAGGTTTTTGAAGATCCTAAGTGGAAGCTGGAGATCATTTTACTGTATTTTGGGAAATACTACAGCAGGGTAAGCTGATTACATTATCTTTAATCTAATTAGTTAGTGCATTGAATGGATTTTTTAAAGCAATTAGTATTAAAAGAGAGCAACTTATGCCCTTGTGGTGGTTGGTGAACCTAAATGGAAAAGCTGGAGATAATTTTACTGTATTTTGGGAAATACTAGAGCAGGGTAAGCTGACTGCAATTTATTTAATGAAATTATTTGTCGCATTGATAGGATCTTTTTAAGAAAGTAATATTTATAAGAGATTAACTTATTCCCTTGTGGCAGTTTCTCATGTTCTTTTTGGTTCTTAGTTTATATTTCACCCTACCATTTATTGTATGGTTTCTCCATGGAATCATTTATGGCCTTTTTTGTCTTGTTACTCAGTTACTTGTATTATGATTTGTTTGTTTTGTGGTCCAACAATAATAACAGTGCTATATTTTAAAATGTAGCCGCCTACATTGATGCCAGGTGGATTATGAAGCTGTAGCACATTACCTGTTGTCTGCATGAAGATTGCTCATTCAGCAAGCTAGTTCTAGCAGCAATCCCCCCAGGGTCCAACTTACACCTTGTTGAAGTGGATAAGAAGAAGAAATTTATGCATGGGAAGGCAATATTATAATGCCATAACCCATTCACCTCTGACATTCCGAACACTCCACTGATGAACATTCATTGGATTTGGATTTAATAATCATGGATATACGCAAATCTAATATAAAAACTAACCTCAGGCAAAGTCTCTCCTAGGTGTGTCATTAGCAAAAGAAAAACTCATGCTGGTTGCAAATTCATGTGGGGAGCAACTCCAAAGATGATGTTGAAGATGATATTATTTTCTACTCGAATAATCATTCATAAGCAACAAAGCATATTAAGTTTTGTTCCAACTTGATGAATGCTTCAGTAATGTCTGTAAATTGAATGTTAAACTTGCAAATACTTGGATAAGGGTCTAGTGGTGACTCTCATGCCTCAGTGTCACCTGTAAGAGCTATTCTGCATCACACAGAATGCATTGACTTTATTGGAGACATTCTTCGTGGGCCCACACAGGAAGAATGCGACATATTGATGTATCAAAATGAACACTCTTGTAAGTAGGAGATATAACAATTCAGGGATGGGTTTGATGATGAACGGGCCAAATTGATTTTAGTTTTCTTGTATTCATCCTTATAGTGTAGAACTGGCTAGAAGATGTCTGATTACTAAGGTTGTATCCAGACAAATAAGCTCGACTATGCAAACATACGTGAAATACCAAAGTGCCTCGGCTTGGGCAAGGCCTTGACCACATTGAAGCAATTCTTCTTATTATGGCACTTGGCTTAAGATAGCAAGGAAAGTCAAAGTGACTTGGTTCTTCAAATGATGATGTGATCAATATTGGATTTACCAAGTAGTAAATGACCTAAAAGAACCCGAGGAGGCTGAACAAGACACCATTGATAGGAGATTTACCAAGAAGTATTAAATGTCCTAAAAGAACTCAAGGATAGTGAACAAGACACCATTGATAGGTTAAGGGAAATCTACTGGTTTCGGAGATAATTCAATCACCATTGTTTAACAACACTCTTCATCTCAATGATTTATCACCAAAGATGAAGAAGCCCCTAAACCATTATTATGTTTTCTTTGCTTGGAATAACACCAATATGTCAAACCTTAGTTCTCATGGTGTTAGTGTTTATGCTTGGCATTGATCAGAAGGTGCTACATATGAAGCTCCGCCATAGAACTTTCAGGTTGAAACTAAGCAGCAAGTGATCATCAACGCCAATAAACTTATTGATGCCTTTCTGGGAGTAAAAGTATCCTTCTTGGGTATTTAATAGCTCGCCTATGAGAAATCAGAGGCTTAGATATCATCTACTTAAACTTTTGAGGTCTAAATTATGACATCCCAAAAGATGATTTTTTGCTCCCCATGACAAAACCAATTGCTGAATACTAGTTGCTCGCAAACATTGAACTAGATTAACGAGGGATATAATTAACAAGATAGTCATAATGATGTTGTATGATCTTTCCATACAACATCATTGTTTGGGTGTCAATGCCTCTTCAATGGTTCATTGAGTGCATTTAGGAGGTTTATAGAAGCTCCCCTCAAAATTTAGAACTCAAGCAAACAATAAATAAAATGCTCATTACCCTTTATAGTTAATATATATATATATTAAAAAAATTTAGAATAATTGTCTTTTGAAAATAACCTCTACTCGAACTGTGGTTATTAACAAGAAGTGACCTTGTTAAAGATGTTCGTTGATACATGTTGACCTTGACCATGCCTCCATGAGATTTGTCCTTGCATCATGTGTTATTTTTAAAATGTAAGCCTATATTTATAGTATTCTAAATAATAATGAATCAGGATTCTAGGCACTAAGTCAGGCTTAATGATAAATTTTATCCAAAATCTATTGTTTGGTTGTCACATTATAATGTTAATGGTGTTTTGCTGGAAAATGTACCAAACAATTGGTCGTTCGTTTGCGTTAATGGAAATGCTAAGGTCTTGCAAGTTGCATTCGAATTAGCATCATTCCCCCAGTTCTCAAAATTTAAAGCGTGAGTGCACCATTTCCTAAAAAGATCCAGACGTAATTTATTGAATATCTTTATCAACATTATTATTGTTCCAGCTATTTGGCGCTGGTTTTATGAATACTTGTTTTGTTACAAGAGGTAATAACTCTATTTTTTGCTTCTTTTTTTTTTTGAGGAACTTCGAGCGAATGAAATATTTTCTGATGTATTTTAAATATTAAATTAATCAAAAGGCATATTCTAATATATGAAGCTCTTGGTAATGTTGTCTGAGGGGTTGACTTGTGCTGCCTTGTAAATATAGATATATTGTTTATGTGATTCAAATCTGTGATCTATCAATATGGTCCTTATATCATTACCTTTTTCAATCACTCACTCTTAAGCTTATTGCAGACTGAACAACTTTTAATTAATTTACCAAACTGCTAGTGTTTCTCCTAATTGTTGTCTACTCCATCAGTCATCGCACTCTTTTTTCCTATTTTGTCTTGGAGGTTTTGAATGAGGATTTTTCCTTATCTCTTTTTCATTGATCTGTAAGTTGCTGATTATTTTCCCTTGTTATTGTTAACCTTGTTAGATCTATTGTCAACTTTTATGTTTGAATATTTGTATGCTTGCTGTTTTACTTTGCTTTCAGCCTTCTACCCGAACTAGGAGGTCAAATAGTTCACCAAATGATGAGACTTTTGAGGGCATCTTGAATTGCTTCTCAAATCCTACTACTACTGGTGGCATTTTAAGAAAAATGGCTTCTGAGGTGGCGTGTTTGCTTCTGGCTCAGGCTTTCAAGGTAAATAACATGTCAACAATTTCATGAAAGTTTCTATAGCCTTGAGCTATTATTTGATGGAATTATCCATTTGATGATGCTTTCTCTTAACAGGACCCTTCTATTGACCATTTTATCTCTAAATAATTGAAGTGTTTCATGTATTTGTCATGTGGGTTGGATTTTTCAATTCCACATGGACTCGTTTGATTTTATGCATAAAATGATATTCAGAAAGTGATGATTTCTTTTTCATTGATTTTTTTCACTAAAAATAAAAGAGGTACGTTGAAGATATTTGTAGAATTTAATGTTCATGTTGATTTCCAGTTACATTCAACAAAATTATATAATCTAGCTCATTTTGTCGTTTTCGAAAATGTGGTTTCTATTTACAAGCGTCCAATGGATCCTAAGTGAAGAAATTGAACCCTCTCTATCCGTAACCATAGGGGTGTTGTGGATCTGATGTACATTGTCTCCTGTATGGATGCCCATAATGAGTGTTTTTGTAGTGGCAAGGCTTTTCTGAAACTAGTTGTTAAATGTGCTTGAAATACTGTTATCTAAATTACCGATGATCATTCTATCTGGGATATGATGTTTTTATTTAATTTTGCATTTTCAGATCTTTGTTAACTAATTCGTTTGAAGTGGCTGATACAGTTTCTTGCTTCACTCTCCATTTCCGGTAAGTTGCTAGCTTAGTGAACAATTAGTCCATGTTGAGAGTAGGGCTGCAAATGAACCGAGTCGAGCCGATCTTCATCTTGTTTGAGCTCGAGCTCATTTCCCAAGGCCATGTTTGAGCTCAGCTCAATAAAATTTGACCTTTTTTATGATGTTCAAGCTCGTTTAAAAATCTCCTGTTTGAGCACAGCTCGTGTTCATGTTCAAGCTCGACTCATTTTAAGCATGTTGAGCCTTTTAACGAGCCCCTATTTGAGGTCAGTTCAAGCCTACTAACGAACCCTGCCCAGCTTTCTAATGTACTCCCAATATTTTTCATTTTATAGAGAAAATCAAGTTGTCAACTTGCATTGCAGTATTGCACGGTGTGGGAATAAATGGAAGCAGAGAGCGCAGAGCCAGGGCGGGATCGAGTTCGCGAGCGTTTAACCGAGCGGGTTTGCGAATTGGAGAGCTAGAGCAGGGAACACGGTTTCTCGATGGTCTAACTGAGTGGGTTCACGAGCTGGAGAGCGGGAGCGAAAACGGAGAGCGCAGAGCGGGACAGGTTGATCGAGTTCACGAGTTAGACAATGGGAGCAGAGAGTGCAGAGCAGGATCGGGTTTGGGAGCTTCTAATTGAGTGGGTTCGTGAGCTTATTTTTAAAACTCTAATCAAGCTCTAATTGAGCTTCTTAGTTGAACTCTTATTGAGCTTGTTTGTGATTTTTAAATGATATTGTTCATGAACATAAACGAGCCGAACACCAAGTTATTTAAGCTCGTTTATTTAGCTATCGAGTATTTATCAAAAGTGTTCAAGCTTGTTCGTTTACCTTATCAAATGAACATGAATGAGCTCTTATCGAGCCGAGCTACGAGCTGCTTGTCGAACACTTGGTTCATTTGCAGCCCTAATTAAGAGTAAACTGTTTGGGATTAGGTAGATGTTGCCTTATAAATCAGACAAGTGTAACTGCAAATTGAGGCAGAACTGATATTTTGTGTACAATATTTTATCTATGGTTTCAAATTAAACTTCAGTTTTCGTAATTTTTGTATATTGCTTAAATTTTCTTGTTTCATATATTTTCATGGATTGGTAGTTCAGAGTCCAAAGGATTTCACTTGAGTAGATCTAAAACGGAATATATGGAGTGTAATTTTAGTAGTAATAGACCTAGTGAGGGGATTGTGACTTTGGACGATCAAGTCATTAATAAGAGTACACATTTAGATATCTTGGATCTATTGTTCAGAGCGATGGTGAAATAGATGAGGATATTATCAGTAGAATTCAAGTTGGATGGTTGAAATGGAGGAATGCATCGGGCTTGTTGTGTGATGGAAAAGTACCACTCAAACTTAAGGAAAAATTCTATAAGATGGTGGTGAGGCTTGCAATGCTTTATGGTGCTGAATGTTGGCCATTAAAAGAGAAGCATAATACTAAGTTAAGTGTGGCACGGATGAGGGTGCTTAGGTGGATGAGTGGCTTTATCCTTAGAGATAGAATACGAAATGAGCATATAAGTGAAAAGGTTGGAGTAGCTCCAGTAGAAGATAAGATTAGAGAGAGTCGCCTTAGATGGTTTGGTCACATAAAACGGCGGCCTTTCGATGACCCAGTTAGAAAAGTAGAGGTATTAGATTTGACTTATGTTAAGAAAGGTAGAGGCAGACCTAAAAAAACTTGGTTATAAAATATTAGAAATGATCTTTCTTTATTAGATTTAAATGAGAATTTGACTTTTAATAGGACACAATGTAGAAAAATGATTTATGTAGCCAACCCCACGTAGTGGGATAAAGCCTTGATGTTGTTGTTGTTGGTAGTTTAGTAAATTAATGTATTAGGATTTTGAAATGTGATTTGCATTCATATGAAAATATTATTTAGTAGCATGGTCTAGTTATTTAAGTTCATATAGTGAAACCAATAAATGATAGTTTTCTTTGGGGCAGATGGGGAGAAAATAAGACATATTGCTTGAGACTAGGATTCAGTGTTAGTCAAGGCCCAACTATATTTGGTGGAATAGTTTATCATTTTGGTATTTGTTTATATGTTAGAGATCGACAAATGAGAAGCTAATAGTTAAAACCATAGCCCACATTATCATTTTGGTATTTCATTAATCAATTTAGGTCGCATGTATAGAACGCAAATGTTTCTTATTTGCAGGAGTAACACCATAATATTTCTATTTATAATACCCTATATTGTAAATAGAAATATAGTTGAGGAACAACTATATTTGGTAGAAGAGTTTATTTTTATTATTTTGTTATGTGTTAGCTAGGCAAAGCCCTTTTCCTGCTACCAAACACATCTTTTGGCCTACCTCTCATAGGTTTCAAAATATTTGATCCAAAAAGACTTTTTGGATTTTGTTCGTTCTAACATGGACTGCTTCTTGTGATCGCTCAAGCTTTTATACATTAGTCTAAGCATAATCGTCTTAAATCTGACCTAATATATTGGAGTAAATAGGGTTTTGGTAATCTATTTGCCATTATTAAATCTAGTGAAGAAGATGTCACTCGTGCTGAAACTTAGGCTTCGTTTGGGACGGCTTTTTTCTTGCTTCTTAAAGCAGTTTTTTAGTACAAATATTATTTTTTTTTTGTACTAGAAAGCCGCTTTACAAAGCAGTAAGAAAGCCGTCCCAAACGATGCCTTAATTTAAGCACTTGATGTTTACATTATGGCCGCGTTAAAGTGGTACTATTAGGAAGTGCTGCTATTTCAATTAATTTAATTGAAGCTCATTCCATTTTTTATTGCATAATAACTTAAAATTTCAATGCAGACTGTTATTTATCGAAACTGTGTTTGAGGCAGATTCGTGTTTTGCTACTTTCAGTGCTATCTATCACTACAAAGTGATCAGAAAAATGCTGTTTTTGTTACTGAAAAGATCGGAGGAAGCACTCTACCGGAGATATGCAATAGTTTGGTAACTGCTTTCAAAAACCTGAGGAAGTTGGATCGGTAAGTTTATTTATTTTTTATAATAAATAGTCCTTATTCTCCTGGCTAATCATTGAACTTCTAAAAACCGGCTTCTTTGGTTAGTTTATCCTCAGATTTGTACAGCTTTTGCATTCAAATTACATATACACTAATATTGCTTCACACGTTTTAACTGATCTTTACTCCCCCCTATATGTCAATATTTACTTGCTACCTATCCGAGACAAGCATAGGATGAGTTTATTTTTTATTAGGATTTATCCCATGCAACTCAAGTGAAAATAATAAAGTCATGGCGCTATTAGTAAAGGAAATTTGATGTAGATGGTGTAGTGCTTAGGGTTTTGTATTACAAATTTCATACATTTTTCTTGTAAATAATGCTACAAACATGCAAATGTTTGTAGGGTAGATGCCAATAACTGTGTTGCATCGGAACACGTCTGAAACCTCTTTGTGAAGCATCTTTGTACACTTGAAAGCCTTCTGTACCAAAAAGAAGAGTCAAAACTGAAGCAGAAGTCAAACAATCCTTCGGTCTCTTGTGTTCAGACAAAGCTATATATTTCTGATTCAATTTCGTCCGAGCTACATTCATTTGAGAAAATATATTCACAAACTTCCTGTAATATCCTTCTATACTCAAAAAATTGCATACCTCAAACACAGTAATAGGCCTCGGCCAATCAGCGACAGCTTAAATTTTTTTGGGGATCAATAGAAATACTAGAATTACTCACCACGTGTCCCAAAAAAATAATACTCTTCAGCCAAAGCTCACATTTGGAGAATTTGACATATAGTTGATGCTTCCTCATACTTTTCAAAAGAATCTTTGGTTGCCTGACATGACCTTCATCAGAAGCAGAATATACCAAAATATCATATATGAAAATAATATCAAATTAATCCAAATAAGTTCTAAACATCATGTTCATCAAATTCATAAAGACAGCTGGTGCATTCGTCACCCCAAAAGGCATGACTAAGAACTCATAATGTCCGTACCTTATACTAAAAATTTTCTTCATCACATTAGCCTCTCACCTTCACCTGATAGTAGTCATATCGTAAATCAATCTTCGTGAATACAGAAGATACAATACGTTGATTGAATAGATCATCAATCCGCGGTAGAGAATACTTGTTCTTGATAGTGACTTAATTCAACTCCCTGTAGTCAATGCACATACGCATCGGACCATCCTTTTTCTTTACAAATAGAATATGTGCTCTCCACGGAGACACATAAGGACGTATGAATTCCTTATCAACCAACTCTTGAAGCTCCTTGGGTGTCATCTTATACGGAGCCTTGGAAATCTGAGCCATAACTAGAAATACATCAATACAGAACTGTCTCAGTTCAGAGGCAAACTGACTACTTGGGAAACATGTTTGAAAAATTTTGTACTGTCGGGACATCAGAATGAGAACCAAAATCTATACTCATATCCCGGATTAATGATATAAATACCATACAACTATTATTCCATAATCTATCTGCTTTTATAGTAGAGATAAAACATGATGGAACTCTAACTCCCTGAAATGTACAATTGTCACTACCCAAAAATAGTGTAATTCACTTTTTCAAGAATCAATTTGAGCTTCATACTGATTCAATCAGTTCATACCCAAAATAACATCAAATAAGAGAATGAGCAATAAAATCAAACTAGTTTTTCACTTCTTATTAGAAATCTCAATATCATAAAAAGAAAATCTATTGATTATCATATCATTTCCAGTCGGTAAGGTAACATAAAGACAAACAAGCAATACAATTGAAGGCAAATATAATAAATCGAAGAAATGCTTGAAAATAAATGAATGACTAGTTTCAGAATCGAATAAAATATGACATGGATGTTCAGAAATGTAAGTTGTGCTTATCATAATATAGGGAGCATTATGAGCCTCCTGCTGAGTCAAAATGTATACAAGTGGTTGAATTGGAGTTGGAGCAATAGTACTATCAGACTCTCTGACCATTATTAGATGGTCTACCTGCTACTGAACCAGATTCAACCCCTTTACCAACAGAACTCTCAACAAAGGTACGAAGTGGAACTGTCCATGGTGTCCTTGCTGGTCTAACAAAACTCTCATATTTGGGCTCAGATTATCGGTTAAATCTTGCCTGTGGACACTTTGGCATCCTTTGTCCAGTCTGACTACATCTGAAACATTAGTCAATCACCTTGTAACACTAACCAAGATGACGTCTGCCACAACTCTGACAAATAGGTGCCCACTAACAAAACTAGCAACACTACCCCTACTCGGAGCTACTAAAGGTACAGACTATCCACCATTCCAGGACTCTCCAAGCACATATCTTCTCTTCTTCCTAGAAAATCTATTGCTAGATGTCTCTCCATTGAATCACTTCCTATTAGCATTCCATTGCTGTTGAGTAGTCATCAAGCTCAAAGAAATAAAAAATATGAAATGGTATCAGTGGTTGTCTCAGATTATCTCACACTCTTCTCAGAAATCTATAGCTCTTATCTACGGGAGTGCTAACTAGCTGTGGAGTATATTTGGCCAAAGCAATAAACTTTGCCTCATACTACATAATTGTCATGCTCTCCCGAAAAGTCTAAAAAAAGTCTCTTGCATTTGTTATCGTGCAGATAGTGATATAAATTAGGTTCTAAACACATCTGAGAACTTCTCTCAGCTAATCAAAGAATTCTAACTCCCTTGAAACTTCTCCTTATGCTAACCCATCCATCAACGCCCAACCTCATCATCTAATAGAAAAACTTTCAACGGTACTTTCATCTCAAAAGGACACTACATACCGTCAAATGTCTTCTTTAGCCTCCTCAATCAGTCCTCAGTTGCCTTGGGCTCAACAGCGCCCCCAAACCTCGAAATCTTCACATCATATAAACCATTGTTGGTCTCACCACCATCTTATAGAATTTTCCTTTAGGTTTGAGGGATTTTTTTCTATCACATAACAAGCCCAATGCATTCCTCCACTTCAACCATCCAACTTGAATTCTACTAATAATATCCCTATCTATTTCATCATCACCCTGGATAGTAGACCTGAGATATCTAAAATGTGTACTCTTATTAATAACTTGATTGCCCAAATTTGCAATCCCCTCATTAGATTTATTACTACTAAAATTACACTCCATGTATTCACTTTTAGATTTACTCAAACGAAAAATTTTAGATTATAAGATTGGCCTCTATAATTCAAGTTTACCTTCAACTCCCTTCTAGTCTTATCAGCAAGAAAAATATTATCAACAAAAAGCATGCACCAGCGTACATCCTCTTGTAACTGTCTAGTAAAAACATCTGTGGCTAAGGCAAAACATTATTGGCTTAAAACGGATCATTGATGTAATCCAACTGAAATAGGAAAATACTTAGTCAAAGCACAGTGTGTTTTAACACAAGTAATAGCTCTTGCATGCATATTTTATGACTTGAGTATAAGCATTATTAACCCCTTTTCTAAAACTCTCCATAGCACTTATCTTGGAACTTCCTTATAAGCTTTCTCTAAATCAATAAATATCATATATACATCTTCCTTACTCTCTCTATACTTCTCAATCAAACCTCTCAATAAATGTATATAATACAAAGTAGACCTATCCGGCATGAATCTAAATTGATTTTGAGAAACATTATTGTCACATTATAAATTATGCTCAATAACTCTTCCATAGTTTAAAAGCATGACACATTAATTTAATTCTTCTGTGATTCACATACTCGCATTACCTTTATTCTTAAAAATATGAATCAACACACTCCACTCATCTGACATCTTTTTATTCTTCAAAATAATATTGAAAAGTTTTATATGACAAAAAATTCCTTCTCTTAAGCATCTCAACGCATATATTGGAATATCATCGGGTCCAATAGCTTTTCAACACTTTATTTTCCTTAAAGACTCTTTTAACTTTTATTTTATAAATATGCTAATAAAAATAAAATTTTCTATTTTCATTTAGGATTCTAAAGTCACTAAAGTTAATCGTTTTCTCATAATCTTCATTAAAACCTTATCAAAATATTACATTTAGCTTTGTTGAATATCATTTTTTTAGTAAAAGTATTTTTTATTTTCATTCTTAATGCACTTCACTTGAATTAAATTTTTACTTCTATTTATTTGTTTGGCTAATTTATACATACATCTTTTATTCACCTTAGTATCTAATCTATTATATAATTTATTAAAAGTTAAATTCTTCGCATTACATATTAGTTTCTTAGACTCCTTACGACTCTCTTTATATCTTTTACAATTTTCTGAGTTTTTATAACTAAACCAAAATTTTATGATAAAGTTTTTTATTTTTGATATTTTCTTATGCATTTTAATTTCATCATCAACTATTTTTATTATTAAAAAAAATTTCTTTTGATATTTCAAGCACATTATTTATAATATTCTTGATATCATTAGCTACTTTTTTTACAAAATATTAGCCTTCTCATATATAATCATAATCTTAAGATATTGAATCTTACGCTTAAAATTTTTTTTCTTAGTAGTCTTTAAATGCCCTCATGTAAGCCTAGGATAACGTTTTATTTTATTTTTTATATTATTTCTTTTCATCTTAAAGTCGAAAATAAATAAGCTATATTGGGTACATAAATTTTTATTCGGAATAACTTTACACTCTATGCAATCTAAATGACCTTTATTTTTATAAAAAAAATATTCAATTTGAATTTTATTATATCAATGTTTATAAGTGATAAGATGCTTATCTCTTTTTTAAAATAAAGTATTAATAATTAGAAAAATATAAGCGAGGAAAAAAATTAATATTGTCCTACCACTTTTTACCTTTCTACCAACATATATATTTAAATTTCCTCATATAAGAACTCTTTCTCCAAGAAATATTTTTTTATATTAATTCTTCTAAATCTTTCGAAATTTTAATTTTGAACATATATACAAATTCACTTAATGAGCATAAGCAGTTATAATATTAATAATTTTAGTATCGACAACAATATTTAAAATTATAATTCTATTTTAAATCTTATTAAATTTTGTAACGTAATCCTTTAAAATTCTATCAATAATTAGATCTACATTATTTCTTTTATGACTCCTACTTGAATATCATAATTTAAATTCCAAATTATTAATCTCCTTAACCTTCCCTTCACTCATTAAATTTTCTAAATATATATAATATTAATCTTCATGATTTATAATATGTTTTACTCATTCAAATAATATAAAATATTTCAAATACTTTACATTTTTTTTTAGACTAAATTTCTTTGACTTTGCATTCAAATTTTAGCAAAACAAACCGCCCCTAAATTACTTATATGAAAATACATTTATATACTTATATATTGTGTTCTACATTTGCATTGGGGAGTCCCCTCTGCATAATTTCTTTATTGTTTTCTCTGTCCCTTGAATTGTCCAACTATATATTTTTTGCAGTGATTTGGAACTAACCTCTTTTGAGAAGCAAGCTTTGACTACTGCTGCAGCATTGGCATCTATGAAGTCGTAGAGTGCTAAAGATCCTATAGCCAAATGATCTGTAAATCTAAATTTAGAGCTTTTTTTTGGACTGTTGGTTAACATTTATGTACAGCGACGCAGAGAAACAAATTGTTTGTGTTATGGCATTCAATTGTTGCTGGACTGCATTTTTTTTACTGACTAATGGAACAAGTTTTGGCCTAATTAGCTACTGATGTTTGCCTTATGATTAAACAAGATTGAGCCATCATTAGTGCATAAAAATGTACATACTAGTTTTTGGGTTGAGATTGTTGCTCGTATTCGAGAGATGATTGTTTTTGACTGTTTGGCATCCATGATATTTGCCTTCACAAGTTGAGTCTTAGTATTATCGAGCTCAACTCGTTAGTCGGAAAGCGAGCTCGACCTCGAGTTCGAGTTGAGCTCAAAAGGCCACTGTAAACGACCTCGAGCTGACTTGTTGAGTAGTTTGATTTTGCACCTGTTTTCAATTTTGTGCTCTTTTTTCAATTTCCCGCCCAGTTTTTGTGTTTCCACCCGATTTTTGTTTTCTCACCCGGTTTTCATTAAGGGAAAAGAAGGCCGAAGCTTTCTCTAATATAATTATCGTTGTTGCTTTGGGAATGAATCTGTTAAATTTTATGTTTTTTTTTGTGTGGAAATTTTACTGTTTTAATATTAATTAAAGTTGCTGTATTTATTACAAAGTCCTGTTTTCCAAAAAAGGTTGCCGGCCAAATCTAAAATTTTTAATTATTTTTTAAGCTTTTTTAATTAAAATTGCAGCATTACAAAACATTGAATGTTTTTTTTTCTTTGGCCATCTATTTTTTTAAGATTTAAATTTAATAAAAAAATGATTACTTAAATAAACAAAAATTATTCGAGCTGGCTCACAAGCTCACAAGCTGAGTCTCATCAAGCTTGAATTGAAATGAACTCGAGCCCGACTTGTGAGCTCGATCAGCACGGCTCGCGAGCTAATAAATGAGTTTAGCTTGAGCCATCTCACGAGATTGGCTCGATTCGCTTACACCCCTATCTCTTCATGATTGTTAGTGTTTTTTTACGTCACTTCATAGAGCGGGCTAATATGTTCATGGTTTTGATGAACTTTGACGTGATTGTGAATTAGAGGTCATATCAGACACGGTAAGAATCTCAAATATAATTTTTTTGAAGTAGTTCTTGCTGTGTTTCAAACATTAGAGGAATGTAATTATAAATATTATATTATCAAGTACAATATTGTTGCATCCTCGAGTATTCGCGACGGTAGAGAAATATATAGTTTAGCGTCTAAGCATTTTACGAAGATCCAGCACACAATTAGATAAGATAGAGGGTGTAGCGTTCATAAGATACACTAGAGTTTTTACTTGTAAACTCTTAAAAAAAGGGGGAAAAACCACGGGGCCTGACCTAGTTTGAATGAATCCACTAGTATTTGCTGTCAATTACAAAAGAGGCCCTTCATTGGGAGAAGGCCTTGGCTTGATGATACAAACGTACATCATAAATAACATATTACATGGTGGGAGTTATAATAATCAACATAGATGTGTTTGTTTGGTCGACACGATCATAATTGATAGGATAAGGTCAGAAAGATCGTTGTCTGGTGACGGAGGTAGGAATAACTGTAGTCGACAGGAGGTCGGAATGATCATAATAGGCGACGGAGGTCGGAGGGACCGTAGTCGGTAGGAGACAGAGGTTCGAAAGACCGTAGTTTGCAGGGGACTCGGGTCAGAAAGACTGTTGTCTGATGATGGAGGTCAAAACTGTTGAAACTTGTTCAATATGAATTAGATTGTTAGACTTAAGCTTATATCACAGCGGCTAACCAAGAGGGGCGGGGGTGAATTGGTAATTAAAAATTTATCTCTATTTTTAAAATTGAACCAATAATAATTTTAGTGAATTTTTATAGAAAATGTTTTTTTAACCACAAATTTAAAAAGTAAAAAACAAAAGCAACAGACAATAAAAAGACACAAGATTTATAGTGGTTCGGTCAAACACGACCTACATCCACTCCCCGGAGGTACCCTCCGAGTATTGCACTAATACCACTAGTGACTCTCCTTTTGCACCCACAGCAAGGCGGAGAAGCCTTTACAAAACTCTTTTCCACCACTACCCGGTGCGGCAGAGAATCGTCATCCTTTTACACTCTCCTAGTATTGGCAGAAAACCGTTGTCCTTTTACACTCTCCCAGTGTTGACAGAGAACCGTCTGTCCTTTCACACTCTCCAAGTGTGGGCAGAGAACCCTTCGTCCTTTCACACTCTCCAAGTGTAGGCAGAGAACCCTTCGTCCTTTCACACTCTCCAAGTGTAGGGAGAGACCCCTTCGGCTGTTTACACTCTCCAAGTGTCGGCAGAGAACCAGATCTTCTTGACATATCTTCTCACAATAAATCTAGAAGGACGAGAGAAAAGAGTGAAGTAATCATAAATCACAATTGAAGATTCTTACCTTTGAGTACCAAGTGAATCCTTCACGCTCCAGTAGTAAAAATCCTCCTTCAAACACTCTCTCATATTCTCTCCTTCACTCTCCCTTCAGTTAACACGAAGATCAGTAGGCAAAAAAAGATTACAAGATAATTTTAAGTTGACTTTATATAGGAAAGACAAGAAAAACCGTCCAAAAACTGCTGGCTTTCAAGTCTGTACACAATCGATCATCCTAGACGATCGTCAGATCGTCCCGTATGAATAGTGTTAAATCAGTTGCATACGAACCCAATGTATATTAGTACAAACTGACTTCGTACCCGATCATCGTCCCATATGAAATAAGTTCGTCCGGGGACGAACAATTATATTAAGGGTTCGTTCTGACGAAACTGCAGGACGGTCCCAAATTTTCAGGGAACAGAGGACTTTGTCCTGGGACTAACATGAATGTTCGTCTGGACGAATAGTTCAAGTCATGAGTCCAGAGAACTTCGTCCAGGGACGAGCAGGATGGATTGTCTGGACTATTAGTATAACTCAAGTGTCCAGAGGACTTCGTCCAGGGACGAACCGAATGGATCGTCTGGACGATTAGTGCAACTCAAGTATCCAGAGGACTTCATCCAGGGACGAATTGTACACTTCGTCTGGACGAACAATTCAAAGTGAGAATACAGAGAACATCGTCTAGGGACGAATAGGGAATATCATCTGGACGATCAGGACTTAGAAAAATTTTCCCACTTCCTGTTCGTTCTATTGCTCTTTCGAGGGGATTACTGATACGAACTTAGTTCGTCCCGTACGATCAGTATTATTTTTAAAGATCTCCCCAAGTGTGTGTGTCATAAGTTACTCAATAATAATCATACACTCTTAAACTCAATACAATGAAAAATACAAACTTCAATTTACAAACTATCTCATGCTGAATTTGATTTGAAGTCTTTATTAGTCAGGAGTTCGATTATCCTGAAATGTTAGTCCACACAAGAGTAAAAATAATTCTTCCAAAAAGTGTTATGAGAAAATAAAACTTAAAACAATAATATTTGGAATCATCAAAATTATACAAGTTGCAAGAAGGTAAAACATGTAAATAGCAACTCTCTTAACAGGAATGACCATAGTAGGCGACGGAGGTCGGAGGGACCGTAGTCGGTATGAGACAGAGGTTCGAAAGACCGTAGTCTGGCATTGTAGGTTGGAATGACCATAGTAGGAGACGGAGGTCAGAAGGACCATAGTTGGCAAGAGATAGGGGTCCGAAAGACCGTTATTGTAGGGCGATAGTTTGGCAGAACTTCAGGGCATCAGGTGGTGTCCTGACAGAAGTTTGGGCATCATGTGGTGGCCCGGCGGATCAATATAGTCAGACGGTGGTCCGACGAAGGTGAGGGACTCAAGTGGTGGTCCGGCAGAGCAATAATGTCAGGTGGTGGCCCGGCGGAGGTGAGGGACTCAAATGGTGGTCCGGCGGAGCAACGACATCAAGCGGTGGTCCGGTGGAGGTGAGGGCCTCAGGTGGCAGTCTGGCGGATGTCCGGAACTCAGGTGGTGGCCTGGTGGAGCACATGGCCTGAAGTGGTGGTCCAGCGGAGCAACGACGTCAAGCGGTGGTCCGGCATAGGTGAGGGCCTCAAGTGGTGGTCCGGCAGAGTAATGACGTCAAGCGGTGGTCCGACGGAGGTGAGGTCCTCAAGTGGCAGTCCGACGGAAGTCCGGGTCTCAAGTGGTGGCCTGGTGGAGCACAATGCCTCAAGTGGTGGTCTGGCCAAGCAACGACGTCAAGCGGTGGTCCGGCGGAGGTGAGGGCCTCAAGTGGTGGTCCGGCAGAGGAACAACATCATGCGGTGGTCCGGCGGAGGTGAGGCCCTCAAGTGGTGGTCCGGCGGAAGTCAGACGGTGGTCGAGGAGGAGCTTCTTCCTTATCTTCCTTCTCTTCTTCCTTCCTCTCTTCTTGCTTCCTCCCCTTTCAAGAGAAATGAGGGGTCTATTTATAGATTTATGGAGTGGCATGGCTCGTAAATACGTGAGAGATCAAGGGTAAATGGTTAGTGGTTGGATGGACAACCGATATTGAATCTCTTGATCATTGACCGTTTGATGGGCATTTGAACGTCTTAATGATTTTGGAATTCGATGATCTTGGGCTCGTTGGATTTGTCTCGTCGAGCCGCTCAATTCAACTATAAGCTCGTCATGTTTGGAAACCGTTTGGTAACTCAAACAGTGGTACGAAGCTTCCAACAGCTCATCGGGTCCTTAATTTGGACTCATTTGGGCTCGAATTGAGAAGAATTTTGTGTCGTTGGGTTCGTATTTCCGAGATGCTCTGTTTGACTTTAAGTTTGCTGAAACGGAGTTCAGGTGATCCCGGATTTAATTTTTGAAGTTTCCGGCCTGATTTTGCCTCGAGATTAGTGCCCGATCAAGATAATTTTTTGATGATATATCAAGTATAAATCATAGATATAAATGAAGCTATATACTTTACCCTTTCAAAATATTTATTGACCTAATTATAACTAAGATGTAGCCCTGTAATTGAAAGATAAAATAATAATAATAATAATAATAATAATAAAACTAATAATTGAAAGATGTTGCAATACAGGGGATTTGACAAAAGTGCACATCATGATGCTAAAAGTTAGAGAGATCTAATGGTGATGACTATATTTATGTGGTGCTTGAAAAAAAAAAGTGGTTATTTTGTGAATAATAAGTAATTATTTTATT